AGTCTTGTCTTCCCCTGTGTGCCTGGTCGGTTCATTGTTGGTTTTTCCTGTCTCCCTCCATGTTGGTCACAATCGTTTTTTCCCATGTTATCCATGCCATGCTTTTTTGTTCATCAGCTTTGTAAATAAAGCTAATTTTTTTGTTTCTAGACCTGTTACCTCTTTTTGTAGTCTGCAGTTGGGTCCTACCTTTTCCACGCTACCTAACAGAATGAACCGACCAGGCACACAGGGGAAGACAAGACTAAATACAGAGAGGGGTAATCACAAGACAAGACACAGCTGGGGTAAGGGAGGCAGAAACACAAGGGCAACAGGTGAACACAATCAGACAATCAGACACACCAGGGAAACTAACGACAGGAAGGCAAACACAGGAAGAAGGAACAGAGAAGACACAAGGAGGAAAACATTTCAAAACAAAGGTGGAAAATGAAAACATAAATTCAAAACCGTAACAAAAATAACCCGTTATCATCTGTACATTTATCTTACGTCATCTTCACTGAATATTCTAGCAGTGTGACATTCCATCAGACAACCGGTCTGCTCAGAAAGAGGGAGGGGGAGACATGTGAAGAGCATGAACTCGGGCTGAAGGGACAAAATCAGTGTGCAAAACAGGTAGACAGCAGAAAGCAGCAGAAAAAAGTGGACAGAGAGAGAAAGGTAAGGTGGAAACATGTCTCAGAAAGAAGAAAATCGTTTGTTATCACACTGCTAATAATATAGAGTGTACCTGGTTCGGCACACCTGTTTATCACTCTCTTTGCTTTCACTTTTTCTGCATCACACAGACCAAACTGCATCAATGAAGATCTACTGGATTTTAATAGTTTTTTGCATCCTGTTGTCCATGGCACTGTCAGTGTTCATCCAGGTCCAACAACAACTGATAATCACGATGAACAATAAGAACGAAACGTTTACAATGACATTCAAGAAACTTAATAAACAACTTTCAAATTTAGACAAGGTAAAAGTTGAGTTGGTCAGGCTGACTGTTTTTGCGCAAGAAGAGACAAAGGATCTTGAGGCTCAACCTGTTCCAGATGTGGATAAGCAGAAACAAGAAATTGACGCCTGTCGAGCTGAAAAGGTGAATAGTTGTTGTTGTGTTTTTGGTGTTTGCGTCAGCAGCTTCATTTACTATATGAAAAAGTGAACCATGCAGCCTTTAGAACACATTTGAAAAAACAATTATTATAAACACCAAGTGCTTAGTGAACACTCTGTTTGTTTATAACTTGTTTGTAATGATGTTCCTCACTCTTTATTTTGTATCTTGTCTTACTCTGTAAAGCACTTTGGGCTGCATCTTGCATGAAAGGTGCTATATAAATAAAGGGTGTTCTCTTATGGCCTATGCTTTCTTCAAATAACTCAGGTGAAATAATCCAATATTTCACAGAAAAAAGCTTTTAAAAACAAATGAAATTCCCTATTCATCATTTCCCAACCCTTTCTCTTGTGACCCTGTAAACATAGCTGCACCTCAGATTGTAACATGCATTACTATCCATCAATGGAATATGGAATAATATATCACTCACATGAACCATAATACTTTAATTTTTAGGTAGGATTTTAAAAACAGGACTTTTACTTGTTATTGAGTTTTTTTTCCAGTGTTGCGCTGAAACCTTTTTTATCTGAGTATTCTTCCATACCTGCCTGTTTTCCACCTGCCCCCTACACGTCATACAGCTTTGATGCTATTGTAGGGTTTACAAACCCACAAGTATTGAGTGTTTACTGACTTTCTCCCACACTATTGTAGAAAACCAAAGCTGATGAGCTTGCGAGCATCAAGCAGAAACACGCAGAGATTGCAGGTATAACACAACTCATGATATTTGGTGAGCTTCTATTGCCATCATGTGGTGAAATACAAGAATTACTGTTAAGGTTTGAATTTGTCCTTCTTTTTTGTCACTTAGCAAATTTAAAATCAGAGTCTGATGCCTGGGAGCAAGAGATTCAAAGCCTGAAATCACACATTTCGGGGTACAGGCCAATATGTGATCATGTCAAGAATGTCCCATTGGCTGTGTAAGTCACAAGTACACTATCAATTAAACATTTGTAAGACTGAACAGAATGCATTAATAATCACATGCTTGTTTCTTGTAGGAAATTATGTGGCACCAAAAATAAACCTGTCGATAAAGGAGAGAAGGCATCTTAGATCTCCACAACGCCAGTAATTCACAATTGATCCAAGTGTTAGGTTTATGATGATATTAGTGTCATTCCTGTTACTGCTGTATAAAAGGATAATGTGTTTTTCAGCTCAAATGTATAAAACTGCCAGTACATGGATAATACTTCTTCCAGTTGCAGAGTATAAAGAAAGAATAATTGGAGTTTATCAATATACTAAATTGATAGTGAATTATTATGGCTCATGTTACTGTTTGTATAGTTCTTGTAAGTTCTTGTTGACATATAGATACTTATATTAAATTATTAGGCTTTTTGTCTGTCCCTTCAGTGTAATTTCTCTTCATCTTACAGGTTCATATATTGCTGTGTCTATGAAAGGACAAAGCATTAAGCTCTGTTGGAATTCAGCATTTTTCATCTAAATGAAGCATCCATTACAAAAACATTGAGGTTAACATGCAAACATCAAGGTATGATATTTTCGACCATGCTTTGAAATAACACATCAAGGGAATATAGCGTCTTTACATCTCCCAAATGTGTTCAAGGCGCAGGTACGCCATTAGTGAGCTTTAGTTACAGTTGAAAAGATCCAGGCTATGTTTAATGCGAACCGGCTTTAGGCCCTATACAGTAAGTGGAATGTAAATTGGAATCATACAAAATTGTTTTGACATAGTAACTCTCTACCCATCTTGATTTCAATCATCCTATATTTGTCATCACATAATTAGCCCTACTGAACATTTTTTAAGAAATACTTACTCATCAATTTTGACTTCCAAAATGCTGCACTTGAAGCTCCTGGAGTGATTGTGACTGACAGTAATTGGGCCTGCAGCTTCTCAACTGTTCCTGTTAGGAGGTACAGGTGTAAATGTGATAGGATACCTGCCACTTAAGAGCTTGTATGGACCAACAAAGGTGAAATGTGATCTAACACAGGGGGTCTGAAGTGAAAATGGACCTGTTCACAGGCAGGATGCTGTGGGCTGCTCCGTGCATGTTTACAAGTCTGTATTTACTATTAAGTATCCGGTGAACATAACAATTACCCCAAACACTGAAAGCAATCTGCAGAAAGGTTGTGCAAATGTAATGTAATTTTGAGATGCTAATCTCCTTTGAATATTGCAAAAGAGATGAGTTTTCCTGTTATGTGTTAACATTTTAACACAATCATTTGTCTATACAATGTTTTTCAAATTTCAATCATTTGAAATAATAGATACGTAAGTTACGGGTCTTCTCTGTGCCCTTATCCTGTGAAATACTGGGCCAACTGCAAATACAAAAGTTGTGTTACACCCCACAAAAATCAAGAGGGCCCTGCGAACCTTTGGAGACCATAACTGGGGGTCACGACACAAAGGTGCATGAAGTCTCTAATAAACTTTTCAATTAAGTCTTTTAAATGTGCAGTCAATCATTTGTAGCTTAAATGTAAACATAGACAATTTGTTTACATAATCTGCTTGGTGTCTGAGCCTTATTCTCAAGCTTCAGATAGTTTATGAGGGTTCCCTATTTCACATTATCTCCATCGAATCCAAATAAATAGGCACATTTTAAATGTGACACTTTAAAGTAGTTATTTTAGTTTGTACAGTAATCAGTGATAGTGTCTGTACCATGGGTCTAACAAATAGAATACGGACTTTTAACACTATGGCAGTATTTTTTAATAGCACATCATTTAAAAGTGTATGCTTTCAAGATGGTTGTTGGGAAAAACCTTTGGTAAAATTATGAATAACAGTCAGTGTATCAGAGGAATAGCGAGCCTGACAATACACTTCTCGCATGCACAGCACAGTGGTTTTCAAAGAGGAACCGTGTTTCCGGTAATGATAGCGCTGCGCAACCGGACCTGCAGCCGCATCACCACCCGGGACTCTTCCCGAGGAGGGAGGGCTCTTCTACCGGAGGGGGGAGGAGGAGTGAGGTAAGTGGACGCAGTTATGCCAACAAGCCGATTATTGAAGGCTACTGAGCCCTGTCTGTCAATTTGCGTCCGTCCTCTGATGGTCATACAAAGGGAGACGAAATACATCTGCGGACCAAGTTTTCATTCTCTACGTGGAGGAGGCCCTATCCAGGACAGGAAAGTACTTTTTTTACGCTGTAACTTTTTATGGATATATTATGTGAAACTCGGGCTGGGAAAGTCACTGTTTCTGTTATACATTATTTTGAGACAAAATAGTTGCGGTAGTAACCCTACAGAGTTCTGAAAGTGACCTCCCTTTACTTAATTGTGGTTTTTTAGGTTCATTTGGTGACACTGTTTTTTTTTTTTTTTGTTCAACTAGTTGCACGGAATTTCATTTTTTACAATCTGCTTGAAAGGATAGCTATTTTTCTTAATGAAGATAGCAGTGAAAGAAATCTGATAAATGAGCAGCTGCAGTTACATTTAACAGTAAGTTCAAATCAGGCCACTACAAGCCAAATCAACAGCAGAGCAAGCTTAGCCTTTTTAAAAGTTCAGTGGAGGGGTAATGAAAATGACAAGCCTCTCCAGGAGTACAGATGACCAAAGAAACATTGGTGAGAGTCCATCTCACATACCTGAGAACCCCAGGTACCGCAGCTGGGGCAGCATCCGCTTCTCGAGATGGAGAAGTGGCTCCCAGAGGGCGAGCCCTCCTGGTACCCCCTCCTCGAAGTCAGAGAAGAAGGCGGATGTGACCAAGACGCTCTTCTCCTTGGTTCAGACTCACAATGACGACTACACAGCAGATCCAGATGGCCTGCTGGAAACCAAGGAGGAGGGCAGGGAGGGCGAGGAGGGCAAGGAGGGCGAGGAGGGCGAGGACGTGGGGCCAGCAGAAGACGAGTCCAACTATTTCCAGAAGCAGTTTGGGTCAATGCTGCAGCCCGGGGTCAACAAGTTCTCCCTGCGCATATTCGGCAGCCACAAGGGTGTTGCAGCTGAGCAGGCCAGGGTCAGGAGCTTCGGAGTGTGGATCATCCATCCCTACAGTGACTTCAGGTAAACATGAGGTTTTCTTCACAGTCACCCCCTAATTTCAATGCTGTGTGTGGGAAAGTTTGTCTACATAAGTTTTTCATTAAAGTGGAAACAGACAGCTTTCCAACTTCCCGCTCCTCAGCGTTTCCAAGTAATATTATTGTTTGTGACACAAAACAACTTGCGTTTTGCTCAGAGCGTGGCCACTAGTGACAATAAAGACAGGACACACTGCATTTGGATACTCTTTGGTAACTTGGTATAGCTACTGATACATGGAACACACAATAACTATACTCTTCTTGTTTTCGTTGTGCAATGTTTGACACATTTCTTACGTGCTGTCAATCGACCCTTTCCCTGGAGAAATTGTAAACAGATTTGCATGGTGAAAGTGAGGATTATAGTAAAACAAGCCAAACGCAGATGGTATTTTTATTCAATCAAGATGACATTATAATAATGAGTTAAAAGCAAAAATAGATATATATTGCCACTTACAAATTGACAGAAATGCAATTTTGTGCACTTGTCAGTAGACAGGATTCTCCAATTTGTCATATATTTTTTACATATTTCCCTTGTTTCATCTGAACAGCCTGCAATTGTGTTCAGATCCAATTTTTCCAAGGGCAGCCCGCAGCTGACGGTCCATAGCACATGATAAGGCGATGAAGGGATTTGATTAGTGATACAGTATATGGGGCAAGATCATCTGGATTAATGGTGCCACTGGTAACTCCCTTTCTCCCTGTTTACCAGGCAGGAGGGAGAACTAAATTCATTGATCCAGTAAATCCAAGTGATATTTTGGGTTTCATTTGAAAAACATCCAATCGAGGCCGTATTCCGGCCTCACTTCTCAAGGATTTATCAGATCATATTTTGGGAAAGTGTCATTATAGCAGCCATGCTCCAAGCAATTTGTGTGTGGGGGCACTTACAATAGTCACTGTCAAATTTAAACAACATTTTAAAACATCAGGCCTGTGCCAGACAGAGAGGATAAACCCGTGCAGAGGGATTATTGCCCATAAGAATCCCTATAATTCCAATCTTGCTCTATTATGCAATAATACACAGACAGCTGAAGGGGGGATTACCAAAGGCCTGCTCTCCTTAAACCTTATGGTCCAATTTACACTTTCAAATGGATGAGTTCTCATAGCACATTTTGGTGCTCAGCTATACTGTAGAATGAGACAAGAAAGAGGGCCAACAAAGGTCAATCACTTAAATACAAAGGAGGGTGTTAGGATTGCATTATATGGAACTAGCTTTCATCCCTAGGCCTCTCGTCAGATCTTTTATTCTTCCTAAACAGATTCAATCCTGGATTTAGATTCAACATAAAATGCTGTAAAACCACACTCCTATTTTCTGCTCTACTCCTGCTGTTATTAATAGCTGAAAAGTCTAAAAGGTTTTCATTCAGCAGAATTAACTCCGCTTCTCACTCATACTTAAGCAAACACTAATCTGCTGCAACATGAGAGGACGTGATAAGTAGTCATGTAAACCAGCGTGTAGACACTGAGGACACGGGCGCGAGAAATTGATGAAGGGATAAACGTGAATGAGAACGAGGAAATCACCTATAAGTTCCTGTTTCTCTACTTTGACTGGCTCAAGAAGATGTTCTTTTTTTTTTAGAGGGTACATATTGCCAATACCTAAAAGTATAAAGGCCAGGCATAACCCTAAAAAATGTGGAGCTTTTATATTTTATTTGGCCAAGTCCAATGGATAAGAATAAAGTTGAAATACAAAAATAATTAAGTTAAACTGTCATTATATTCAAGTAGTAGTGCTAGTTTTGTGTGCTTTGGTTTATTCTCAGACTCGACATAAATCTAGAAATGTCAAGTTTATTCTCAACATGAAAAATGAACACATAAATTAAGAAAATCGGTCTCCTTTGATTCACTCATTCTTACAGTGAGTCATTTTTCACCCTTATCTTTGGCCCTAATAGTCTTCCGTAGATCAAAAATACTGTTTCATATTCTGTTACTGTGCCTCTGTAATGAAAGAACAAAGTGATTGACACTTGATGGAAACACTCTGTAAGGAAACCTACACCGTGTACTGTTTGTGTATAACGAGACACTGGACACTAAAAGGAAAATGTGGCTTGTATGACATGAAGCAGACAGTGATGAGTGCAGCAATGTGCAGCGAAGACATCTGGGCTTCCAAATCCTGAAAGCAGCAGACTGTGACGGACATTTCCAGTAGCAGTGACGTTCTCTTCATTGTCCTCATGTTGAGCTCGATGAGATAAACACCATTCATTTTTGATGAGCTGGGGTTCCTCCTTCCTGCAGGAACTTCTGATGAGACTTAGGGTAACTCTGAAGTGGGTAATTCCCTCGATGCATAGCAATCCTCCTGATTGGGCTCCAGGTGACATGATAGCCATTTTAAGTTCTTTAACTTCAGGGAAAAGCTTCAATAGGACTGGAATGACGGGAAAACAGCAAATACATTTTTGCTAAGTAGCACCAACTAAAGCTCAGCGTTTAAATATTGTATATTTGATTGCAACAGGAACATGTTATTCTATTTGATATGAACACTACAGTAGCATTGGAATATGCGTCTTCACAGGGACCATATACACTGTGTTTAGACATTGTAGTTAAGAATACCTGTCCACTGGTAAAAAAAAAGTAGAAACTAGAAAACAAAAGCCAAAATGGAAAACATAATTATATGTCCATGAGAACATACCCAAATGAACATCCACATAGTAGATGTAAGACCTATAAAAAAAACCTTCATTGTGCATTTTCAATTGAGTTGTTAGACAGTTCAATAGTTCTGCTATGTGTGACTCTACTGGTGTGCTGGTGTTTTGTAACAAATTCATCAAGCAGAGCAGGATCATGACCATGTAGGCCTTAAAAAATAACGTGTGATTTAGGGAGTTAGGGCTACTAGGCAACTAGCCAAACTAATCTTAAATCTCTCTAGCTGACAGTGTACTTATCCGCTTCTCTAACTCTTTGTAAGAATGTAAGTAAGCATATTTCCAAAAAATTATATATTTCTTTAGATTGAAATCCTGTAACTTTTAGAGTCAAACATTGTTTTTTAACCGTTTTTTTTTTTTTAATCTCTCAGAGCAAATGCTCACACCCTGCTAACATTCACTTCTGAAATGCATGTGTTTTGAACACACTTTAGTAACTGGTGTGTCTTTATCTAGTGAATGTATGGTTTGATATAAAGACACACGTCAAGAGCTGCAGTAAAACAAACATAGTCTGCGTGATCAACAGACTCCACAACAATTAATTCACTCATTATGTGAACAGATTTCACCATAAGCCTCATGCTGCCTGCAGGGTGAAAGGCCTTTACCCTCAGCAAAGGTCCCTGCCCAAAAGCACGAACCTAACATTATTACTGGGATTCATTCATTTGAAACACAAATGAGCCAGTAAGATTTGGTCCTGTGTCAACAGGGCTTTCAGCAAGTTTGTTAGACTTTGTATATATTGTACATTATGTAATAACTATTTATGTTAACCTGCAATAGAGAAACATTGATTTTTATATTGTTTGTTTTATTAATGTGTGATATATTTTTTTTAACATTATCCTTTTAAGAACAACATCATCTGTGTTCTTATGAGTGTATGTCTTCGTATATATCCAAAATCTATTTACATCCATACACATGCTCTCATCCTCATTTATATACAGTAGAAACTGCAGTCTTGTTATGAGCAGAATTTCTTAGTAACTACATTGAGTGTGAACTTGATTGCTTAAATAAGGAGAAAAAACTCAACTTGTAATGTCCTTTGTAAACACAACAATTGTTATGGAGCGATGTTAATATTTAAATGTACAGTGGACCACTTTTCAAAGAATGTATCTGTGAGCACTGGAAACTTCGGTTTTTGGTGTAACATGCTGTCCAGTTGGCGACTCATGCTGACAGATGATTATGGACACTGGATCTACTCACAGTTTTACATCTGCACAACCTCAACGTTTCACCACTCCTGTTCTGTGCAGGTTTTACTGGGACCTCGTGATGCTGCTGTTGATGATGAGCAATCTGGTCATCTTGCCGTGGGGAATCACCTTCTTTGAAGACCAGAACACCATGCCCTGGATCACCTTCAATGTCCTGTCTGACACTCTCTTCCTCATGGACCTGGTTTTCAATTTCCGTACGGGCATCCCGGTAGAGGACAGTCACATCACCCTGGACCCCAAAGAGATCCGCATTCATTACCTGCGCACCTGGTTCATGGTGGACTTCATCTCCTCCATCCCTGTTGACTACATCTTCCTTGTTGTTGACCTGGAGTCCCTGCAGGAGTCGTCTGATGTGTACCGCACCGCCCGCGCCCTCCGCATCGTGCGCTTCACCAAGATCCTCAGTCTGCTGCGTCTCCTCAGACTGTCTCGCCTCATCCGCTACATTCACCAGTGGGAGGAGGTAAAGGAAGGATGTCAGACACACCACACAATGACATAAATAACCGTACATGTTAGAAATTAACAGTTTTTCTCTTCACCAATTTTTCCCTCTCAGATTTTCCACATGACTTATGACCTGGCCAGTGCTGCGGTGCGAATAGTCAACTTGATAGGCATGATGCTGCTGTTGTGCCACTGGGATGGCTGCCTGACCTTCATGGTGCCGATGTTGCAAGACTTCCCCCCAGACTGCTGGGTATCCAAGAATGACATGGTGGTGAGTACATCTTCATTTAAACATACTCACATGCATACTTTATGATATTTGTAAACCTGGAAAGCTATTTTCAAAGCTGTTCCTAATTATGGGGAAATAACAGTTTCATTTACATCCAATAAATACTCTTTCTTTATACTGTTTGACAAACAAACTGAATTTTGGGGGTTGAACCAGGGAATTTTTCTTTACATGGCATGCATACCCATTTAAGGCTCACCATAAATTCCTTTATTCTCCTTTTGACATGGTCAGACCTAGCTCTTTTGTCTGGTGCTAAGCTACTGGTTGTTGCACAGTGCATTTCACGCACAGTGGGCAATCATCTCATGTAATTCGCGGCAGGAAAGTGAAGGAACAAATGCATCAACTGTGTTTAATATCCATATATTTAACACAAAATAACATTATTCCAAGGAAAGGTTATCTGTAAAATGCTCTTACTTAAGCTGCATACTTTGGCCTCTCGTTACCTATTTTAATTATGGTTTTAGCCAAATAAATGTTCTCATAAAAATATGACTGTACTTTCCTCTTGTTTTTTTTTACAGAATTCTACATGGCACCTACAATACTCCTATGCCCTGTTTATGGCCATGAGTCACATGCTGTGTATAGGATACGGGGCGCACGCCCCAGAAGGCTTGACTGACGTTTGGCTCACCATGATCAGCATGGTGGTGGGGGCCACCTGCTACGCCATGTTCCTGGGTCATGCAACTACCCTGGTCCAGTCATTGGATGCATCACATCGCCAATACCAAGAGAAGGTAATCACTTCTGCTCTGTAAGGATATGATTACCAAGCTAAACACATTTTGATTTGTGCACAATATGTCCCAGGAGCTTCAGATAGAGGATAATGTGATCATGACTTTGAGGTTTAATTTCACAGTCATGTTTTGTATTATAAGGTTGCTGTCTTGCTCGTATTTGATTCATGGAAACTCTCCAGTAGTGCCTAGAGAATATGTGTGTTATCTAATGAATTTTGTGGCTTCCCTGTGATCCTTTACTGGGGATTTTCACAGGATAAAGCTTCACAGAAGAGGGACAAACCATTGTTGTGGATAACTGTCGCTAATACCCATTACAAATGAGTTTGTAATCCACTTAAAATTGGAAAAAAACTGCAAAACGAATAGAATGGAGGCATAACGATTATACTAATTCCAAAAACACATGGTACAAAATGTGACGAAACGTGACATCTGACATCAGCTCTGTTCCGTGATGAAGGTCAAACCTCTGTGTGTTTGTGCAAATGTTTCCAGTATAAGCAGGTGGAGCAGTACATGTCCTTCCATAAACTGCCCGCGGACGTAAGACAGAGGATCCATGATTATTACGAGCAGCGATTCCAAGGCAAGATGTTCGATGAGGACAGTATCTTTGGAGAGCTCAGTGATCCGCTGAAGGAGGTGTGTGCTTCATGAATACTTTAAGTAGATTTCCGGTTTCTTGCTCTCCTTCTATTCCTATTTCCTTCCTAAATTTCTCAGTACCACTTATCTCAATGTCTTCTCTTTCTCTCCACCATGCAGGAGATTGTCAGCTATAACTGCCGTGGGCTTGTAGCCAACATGCCACTGTTCGCCAACACTGACCCTCATTTTGTGACAGTGATCCTGACCAAGCTGCGTTTCGAAGTCTTCCAACCTGCAGACTTGATCATAAGAGAAGGAACGCTGGGTCGTAAAATGTACTTCATCCAGCACGGCAGCGTCACTGTCATACCACGTGGCAGTAGGGAGATTACGCTCAACGATGGAGCATATTTTGGAGGTAAATCATTTATAAATCTGTTCCCAAAGCTGTCCCAATCAATAGGAGGCTCTTTGAATGTGGTACTGTGTTGCTGCTCTCCGTTGTTAACGGGACAAACTACAGGTAAATAGGGTAAATCATTCAACTAATATATATCACTATGAAACCTGCCCAACTGCTACCTTTTAACAATAAGTCATTATGTAAGAACTAAGACATACATTGATTTAGAGCTGAAAGAATTAGTAGATTCATTGATTGATTTATACACAGAAACATAATAACTTTTTTGATGAACCATTAGTCATTCAAGCTATTTTTGAGCAGTGAAGAATCCGGTAAACAATCCAACTACACTAATTGGCTACTTTATTGTAAAATGAATATTAGTCTTTTTTGAGGATAGTTAAATGAGAAGACTCTTTTCCAAACATCAAACTATGCTTTAAAGGTTAAACCTAAACCTATTTCTTGTTTCAGAGATCTGCCTTCTGACCCAAGGACGACGCACGGCCACTGTGAAGGCGGAAACATACTGTCGCCTTTACTCCCTGAGTGTGGACAGTTTCAACGAAGTCCTGGAGGAGCATCCTCTGATGAGGAGGGCGTTTGAGAGCGTGGCTGTGGACCGCCTGGACCGAGTGGCTCACAAACTCAGTGTTGAGCCACCTTCAGATGAATGACTTACTCATTACCAAGAGAGAGAGACTCCTGCCTGAAATGTGGAGGATATTTGTCTCGCTTTGACTGAACTTGACCACGATACAAAGAAATCTTTGATGTACATTGTAACATTTGCTGTTTCATTAATGCTGAGTGACGGAGACTCTTGTTTTGATTTATTAACACATTAGTGCTGCACTTTGTTGAAACTGTTGCTCTTTCAAATGATTTCAATTTGTTTATTGGATCTTAAGTCGTTAGCTGAAATCATAATTTAAGATAAGATAAGATGTACTTTATTAATCCCAATTTGGGAATTGTTGTTGCTGCAGCAGCATAAAACAAAACAAGGCATTGCACATAATAACAAATTAAAAGAGTAGAAATAAACTATTCTAAAATATAAACATCTCAAAATAGAAATAGAAATAAAAAAGCATTAGAGAGTAAGACAAATATACAGATGACCAATTTCTGGTAAATCTTTGTACACATTTCATGTTAGAGTCATGGTTCAGTTAACAAATGAGAACATCTCTAGTTTCTTCAGCAATTTATTTGTGGGGTGATTGAAATGCTTTCCCCCGAATGGTAAGCCACAACATTGACTTTTACTAATGTTAATACTGCTTTTCATTTATGCTTTCTAAGACTGCAGTTCCTTATATACATTGCTTTATTTATACGAAAGCGGGAGCACCATCTGGGCGATATATGTAGCGCTGATTCCAGTGATCCCTCAGGTCTGCGGGATGCATCAAGTCTCGGATTAACACTAATGTTCAAAAAGCTGCTGTTACGTAAGAACGCTAAATGTACAGAGACAAATTGCACACAGTTAGACACCAATGTTTAAATTGCCACATTTCATGGTACTCAAAGAGGTATCCAATATTATTTTATTTATACTTTCTTTTCAAATGACATCCTCGTGGATTCATCTTCTTATTACAGACACATGTATTTCCAAACATTTGGTCTACCTACGCTTTAAAATGTATTATCTCTTCGATTTAGACACGGCATCTATTGCACGTCTGTCCGTCCTGGGAGAGGGATCCCTCCTCTGATGCTCTCCCTGAGGTTTTGTGATATTGGGCTATATAAATAAACATTGATTGATTGATTAATTGAAATAGCACCTTAGTCTGTTTTATGTATTTAAATATACCTTGAGTGGGTTTATTTGCAGGGATGTAATTACAAAAAGGTCAGCTAATTTTATTTATTGTAAATAAAAATAAAAAATTCATTTGAGATCCATATTAGCAGACACAAAAAACATATCAAACGTATGTGTGCTATAGCTACTGTATCGAGTCATGGGGTGTTAAGCCTATGTTATCAATGTGACAGTGACCATTTCATTATCACACCATAGTGTTCTTTTTAAACCACAATTCCCAGCCTATCTCTCTCCTGATGAATGATCCTCATACCAATGATGTCATGTAAATATAAATATCTCTACCCTTCAAACAAATAATAAACAACTATTTTTCGCCTATGCAAATCATTTCAAATATGATATGCAAATGAGTGCACACACATACACCCACCACTGATGAAAGACATACTCAGATATTTTACTCAAGTAAAAGTATTTTCTTGATGTAAAAAGATCTCTTCATCATACAAGTGAAATTATACTTGTTAAATTACAGAAGCTCCCATTCGAGTTATATTATATAACTAGAATGCCTCGTTTCAGATTGCTTTATGTTTAGCAACATTTTAAACTTCTAATATATTTTGGGTATTCAAGTATTCTGCAAAGTAATATGTGAGTATACATTTCAAATTGAGTTAGAAAATGTATTATATGTCCCTTTGTATTGTAGTAGAGAGGAAGCATACATCATAATAAACATAAACATACTTAGAAGTGTCTTGATAGCCTCTTTGCATAGTCAAATTAGCAATTAGTTACATTACATGTTACTTGTTAGACGCTTTTATCCAAAGCGACTTACATACATTCAGTACTGTCCCCACAGGAGCAATTTGGGGTGAAGTGTCTTGCCCAGGGACACAACGACATGCTGACTGCAGTGGAGTTTTCCCCTGATCCGAACACCAACGCACTAGTCCACTGCGCCACAGCCTCCCTAGTTCTTGCCCTCAAAATATACACAGATGGTTCTAAGAACAAGGAAGAGTGTGTTGGAGTTGGTATATATATCCCAGACTTTAAAATATCGATCTCAAAAAGAGCATCAGATCAACTATCAGTGTACACAGCAGAAATGCTGTCAGTAATAATAGGATTACAGTGGGTTGAAGAGGTCAGACAGATAGGGTGGTGATATGCACAGATTCATTATCCATATTCAAAAGCATACAGTCAACAACAACTGTCAGAGAATATATACTCATAGAACTATAGCTTGTTAAGACTTCACAGAGGCGGTATAGATCTTCTGTTCTGCTGGGTGCCTGCACATGAGGGGGTAAAAGGGAATGAGTGTGCTGATAAGTTAGCAAAAAGTGCATTGCAAAAGGAAATAACATTACCAGTTCAACTTGGAAAAAGAGAAGGAAAAGCAGTTATTAAGAAAAAAGGGATGGAGATCTGGCAGAAAAGGTGGGAGAAAGACCAGAAAAGCAAAGAGTATCACAAAGTACAAAAGACAATTACAATTAATATTTATAAAGACAATCATGATAGCTAGACTCAGACTGAATCACACAGCATTGAATAGTACGCTGATGTCATGGGGAAAAGTAACAGTGACAAGTGTAGGAACAGTGGAGTTAAAGAAAATGTGGAACATAATCTTATTACATTGTGACATCTGCTGAAAGAGAAAAACTAAAGGATAAAGTTATAGAGGCAGAGAGGGAGTGGAATGTGTTTGGTATTCTGGGAACAGAAGGAGAAGGAGTAAGAGCTACCAGAAAGGCACTGTTTACCTTTCTGAGTGAAATTGAGGTAGGTAAAATAATCTAACATTAGGTTAGAATAGATCATGGATTTTTGTTTTGTTTTGTTTTATTTATTTTATGTTTTTATTTTATTTTACTTCATTTTTTGTTTAGATCATGGATACGTCCATGAGTTGAGAGATGGAATGACATGATGAGACACCATAGACTGTGATACACACTCATGTACAGTAAGTGGCGGTATGCAACTAAAAGCTGTTTGAGATCCGCAAATGAAAGAGAGAAGAAGAATAAGAGCGGTTGTGAGTGGGTTTTGATGACAGCTTCCGTTGATTTCCGGTAGTGTTTCATAAACTCGGGACGTAGAGAAGGTAAGAAGCAGCTATTATTTGCAAATTTAGACCAAAACCTTTCATCATTAAATATATTTGAATGCAGCTTTTATTACAGCTCATATCACCGAATTATTTCACATGGTGTCAATGTGATATCTGAATGCTACGTCCTAGATATGCTGTTTTTGTTCTGACATTACAAGGTTAACCGCTAGCTAACTTAGCTTAGCGCCAGGGTAACAGCAGTAGGTATTCAGCATGGGAGTAAGTGTGGGCTTTAAAAAGACACTTAAACGAAGCAAAAAGTTCAGATTTTCTCATAATTAGGCAGTGTGTTTATCTGAAATATTACAGTTGACCGCTATATGATTGATAACATTGCTAGCACTCGCATTCACCTTTCTTAGCTAACATTCCTCTGACATAACAACATCTCATAACAAGTTTGTTATGAGGTCTCTATCCAAGCTATTTAGTTTCATTCAAGCATCTATTGGTGGGCGCCATTAAAATACATGTTGATCTATTGTTAGTTGGTTTTATTGTGATGAAACAAAATGCTGCTTAAATAGAAATTGCGCTCACTCGATGGCTCTTGTTTTGATGCTGTTTAATAGGTTGTAGTAGTTATGACAAAAGGTTGTTATAACATCAATTAAAACGCATTACTCTGGTATTTAAATGAATTTGTATTGTTGGAAGTTGAGTTGATTTTGGGCTTTTCTCGTATATAAAAGTAATCTGTACACCTCTCAGAAAACCTAAAGAGTGTTAGCTGAAAGTGCCACCTTAGTTTTCCAGCATACCAGTGGATTCGTCAACCAGAGCACCAACAAAGCAGTTCAATATGTGCAATTCTATAACTTAACCCCATACTATAGTTTTGATACCACCAGTAAATAACTTCTATATTTTAACCATACTTAATATGAGAATTAAAAACGTTTTTTGAACTACAGCCTTTTTCATTAAATAATAACGTATTTCACTTTAAACTTTTTGTCAGAAGTAACCTAAAACTTATATTTGATTTGTCATCTCATTGTCTTTCCCTTATGCAGGAAGTATGCTGGCCCTGTCCCGTGCAGTGATGTGTGGGGTGACCCGCGCCCCAGCTGCTGTCAGTCAAGGTGGAGTGACCACTATCACTCGATACAACAGCACGGCACAGGTAGCTGTACTGCTCTTAATAAAAACTGAAATAATAATAATAATAATACAGTTGAATATAAACATTAATAATATGTTGTCTTATTTTTCCAGACTGCTCCTAAGAAAACAACATTTGGACCTCTGGCTGATCAGGACAGAATTTTTTCTAACCTTTATGGTCGCCATGACTGGAGGTAACATCCCTCACCTTATTCCTATGTGCTCTATAAAATCTTACACAATACACAATTATGTGCTGATCAATAAAAGTCAAAGAAGAATTTCAGTTATGCCTTTTTTACGTGAAAAGAACATATGAGAAATGTCTTTTTTGTTTAAACGAACACAATCCTCACATATGTTTGTGTTTCAGGTTGAAGGGGGCATTGAAGCGGGGCGACTGGTACAAAACTAAGGAGATCCTTCTGAAGGGAGTGGACTGGATCCTCAATGAGGTCAAGGTTTCTGGCCTGCGTGGAAGAGGCGGTGCTGGTTTCCCTACCGGCATGAAGTGGGGCTTCATGAACAAGCCCAGCGATGGAAGGTCAGGAAGGAGACAGACAGATGCACACATCTGCTTCTTTTGCATTTAACTGACAATTACTATCACAGTCAATCTAATTGATTATTCATCAAAACATTTACCAGCTCTTGCAACTAGCAAAATGAAGATTGATTTTATTCTTTTAGCATCTCTATATATCAGTTAGCTTGATATTTGAATCAACAAGGCAGCATGTTTATTATTCATCAATTCC